CTCTTAAACATTGCTCATAAAACCAATTGAGGAATTTGAGGAAAGCGACTCGTAGCCGTTGGGCTGTTCGTAATCCTCGTTAAACAAATAACGAATAAAGATTAAAATTTAATGGAAATATTAACACAACGAAATGAAAATAAAATCCGGGAAACGGTCCGATGCGACAACATAAATATCCTATCATTTTCTAAACATGGAAAACAGTCCTTGTAACTGAGGAGAGAAGGCTTACTACTCGCAGTAAAACCGAAACGAAAAAAGAGAAAAAACGAAGGATCAGAACTGCCTCCTTTGTATGTGTACCTGATAATTTCATAATTATTACTTGCCATCAAAATACTTCTGTTGTTATAAAAGTGGAAAAACATACTGCATCTGTTTGAACATGCGAAATGATGAATACATATATTATAGTAGGGTATACAGCCATGCCCATGTGTGGTAGATTGAATACATTGATTCCTTCTAACTCTCTCGTTATTGATTTATTTATTTTTTCTGCTGAGCAGAACGGTCATTCACCAACCAGATTCAATTTCAATTTCAACAAATTTTATTGACAATATAAGCAATAGTCAATAGGATCAGACATCAGGCATAGCCTATCTAAGTCCTCTCCATAAAGTGACAACAGGTGGTAAGAAACACAGACATATATTTGTACATTGATATGATGTTTGGGATAAGGGGAAGTAACTCCTTGATTTCAGTATTCTTGAGATATAGTAACCCTTTCACTAGGGATATTTAATTTGAGATATTTACTAGACTATTATCTTCAGTGAATAGTATCAAGTATTAGACAATGAGTTACTGGTATTCATATAAGGTAAACTCAACTGAACAGATACAGGCCATACAGTCCATATGTATAACACACTAGCCATCACACACTGTTAAGGATCAAAAGCCAATTTCAGCAAATAGATATATAATTTGTAAGTATGGCTACACCAACTCCTGTAAGTAATGTAGTAATTCTTTAATTAAATTGAAAGGAGTTACTCCATATCTTGATGTCAGCTTAAAGAAGAAGAAGAAAACAGAAAACAAAAAAAACACAAAAAACACACACAAAAAAACCCACAAAAATACACACACACACAAAATAAAAAAAAAAAAAACAAACATCTAAGCTGCCCAGAGCCAATTTCATTCAATAGGTGTATATAACAGCTAAATTAGTAATTATCAAAGGTAGAATAAAGTATCTAATTAATTCCATATAATATTACATTAGGTATATCTTGTACTACTATATCATTGTAGTTCACTGGGGGAGGTATAAAGCTTTTATACATATAACTTGGAAAAAAAAAAAAAAAAAATATAAGAATGTAAGAATGTATAATTATGTTCCAAAAAATAGTAAGGGTTAGTCAAATATTATATTAATGAAAATCTTTTTGATTGCGATATAAAGTTTGATACATGAGATAAGATATCTCTATTTTGTAAATCATTACAACTATTACAACCATTTATTAGGACATTTATACACAGATGATTGTGAGTGTGATGATTCAAACTCTGTTGGAGAGTCTGGCGAATTTTATTATTTTGATTACATTCAGAAAAATAATGTGCAGCAGTTTCGAAAGATCCGTTACACTCACACATTGGAGATTCAATTAAGTGATCTTTATAACGATCATAATTTAGATTACTAGCATTATTTCTTAATTGGCAAAGTATAATGTTTACATTACGATTGCCAAAGTATTTAAAAACATCACTTGTTTCAGATTTCATATATTGCTTTGTAGTTAGTAACCTTTTTAACTGTGTGGTAGATTGGATGCTAGTAATATCTGGGGCAAGTCTATTCATTTCATTTAGCATGGACGGAAAAAACAGCTTTCAAAATATTTTACAGTACGACATAAAGGGGGATCAAATAATCTGTTTGTTCGGAGGGGAAATCTGTCAAGGGTTTCATCATGAATATATGGTTGAATAATTTCTCTTAGGTAATCTGGGGTTTCATTATTCATTATTCTATACATTAAAATTAGTTTATGTTTATTTCTCCTGCAGCTCAAAGTTTCCCATCCTAATTCCTTGTATAATTTATCATGTGATGTCCCTCTACGTAAACCTGTAATTAATTTTGCAGCCTCTAATTGTATTGATTCTAATACTTTTTTTTGAGCTAGTGTGCAATTGTCCCACACAACATCTGCATATTCAATAACTGGTCTTATGTAGGATATATATAAGGTTGTTAAGGATTTTCTATCAACTTTATTTTTTAGTAACCTTAAGATATTTATTCTTTTAAATGCGTTTTCATATATATTAGATATGTGTTGGTTCCATTTGGCATAAGGCCCAGATGTGTATGTGTTTTGCTTTCAACAATTGGTGCGTCATAAAAATTAACAATAGGATGATTCTTATTAGTTTTCCTTGAGAAAATTACAGATTCAGTTTTAGAAGGATTAAATTTAATGTCCCATTTAGTGGCACACAGCTTAATATTACTCAAGTCATTGGAAAGATTTGTGCCAATTCAATGGGATTATTATCACATATACCATAGAGAGAGGTGTCATCTGCAAATAATTTAATTTTACTGGAAACACAATCAACAATATCATTTATATATATCAAAAACAATAACGGACCGAGGACTGAGTCTTGTGGAACCCCTGCTTGAACAGGGTCAAAGGTTGATGTATAACCTTCAGTTAGTACTCTCTGCTTTCTGTCTGATAAAAAGTTACGAAACCAATTTAAAAGATTACCTTTAACACCATATGATTCCAACTTGTAAAGCAGACCATTGTGCCAAACTCTATCAAAAGCCTTGCTTATGTCACAGAATATAATTCTGATTTCTTTATTTTGATCTAGGCAATTAACAATGGTATGGTAAATAGACAATAATTGATTTACAGTTGAATCTTTAGGTGTAAAGCCAGACTGGTGTTTTGTAATGATTTTATATGTACTGAGGTAATTATATAGATATTTGAAAACGATTTTTTCTAACATTTTACTAAAACATGAAGTAACAGAGATTGGTCTGTAATTAGACACCTCATTAACTAATCCTTTACCTTTATAAATAGCGTTAATATTAGCCATCTTCCAGCTGAGGGGGATAATACCAGTTTCAAGTGTTTTGTTAAATAGAAGAGTTAGAGGAAAGAGAATAGATGGATGTAATTGTTTGATTATTCTGGGAATCATATCATCTGGTCCAGCAGGTTTATTAACATTCAAAAGAAATAGCTGATCTTTAACATCCTGTTGGGTTATAACAATATCATTTATGGAATTAGGAAAATCATTAGTAGTTTCAGGTATAGGTTCAGTATTTTCAGAAGTGGTAGATATTGATGCAAAGTATTTATTTAAGCATTCAGCTTTGTCAAATGGATGTTGAATAAATGAATTATTGTGTGTTAGTGGGGGAATAGAAGTAGATTTGTTGTTTATATTAAGGACATTTCGTGCAATTTTCCACCACTTGTTAGGGGGAATAGTTTTGTCGGTTAATGATTTTTGTAAATTTTCAACATACTTTTTCTTGGCATCACGTATTCTACTAATGGTTTCATTTCTTTTTTTCTATAATGTTCCCAGTGAAAAGCCGAATTACTAGATTTTGCTTTCCTATGAGCCCTATTTCGTTGTCTTATATGTAGTCTAATATCATTAGTCATCCATTTTTTATCATTTGGTCTAATTGTTACATACTTAGTGGGTATAGATTCATTAATTAAGTGCTTTATTGTATCACATAAAATATTGTTAAATTCATTTGTATCATGTATATTGATAACCAATCAGATTGAGTGACCAAACAAAGTTTATTTATTTACTGAATACATACCCGGTATTTCACCTTGTACATTTGTTTCGCTTTTTTCAAATTAGAAAAGAATCAATAAAATTGCCATTCGACAAAACAATTTATAACGTAGAGGCTATTTTAATTGCAATTTGTCAATGATGCCCAGCAGAATTGGACCTGGTCCGTGGTTATGCATTCATATAACTTTCTTTTCGTTTCTTTAAAGACTCAAAATATATTTTAATAAGTTTGACATTAATTGTTGTTAATTGGATTAACTTCTCACAAGAATATAACTTTAGTATACATCTACGTACTTTGTGTACCCGCTTTATACTGGAATGTGTGTATATTTGTTTGGTAAATTGTCATGTACGTAAATACAAACTGGCATAAGTATTCAACATTTTGTAATGCAGTTATACTTATCACATTTCCGCTGGCTTGTTTAATGTTTGTTTCGACCAGCATCCATACATTTAGTTTGTGTTAATTGGTCTAGTTAAGTACATATATAGGCTTATGTAGGCAATGCAATATTGTCCGACTTATCTGGTCACATCGTTTGTGCGAAAAATATTTCAATGAATAAAACAGCCTTCGTCCAGGGAGGGTCGGTGGTTTCCAACGTAACAGTTATGACGTCAACAATTGGTCCATGACACTCATAGCCTACATAAATGCCAACTAAAATTGTGTAGGGTTATATAGTGGAAATGCCTTACGATCATGGTGAATATTAAAGAGAATATATCCTTTGAACCCCCTCTTCCAATAATGGGAGCTAAATTTTATTGAATGTTGATATAAAGCCATAGAACGTCTATTATTACAACTCTCAATACATCAAGATAGGTCCGAACATATATATACCAACTGTAACACATTATCGAGTCCCTACAGGTGCTTGTTTATAAGACAAAATTAAATTAAAATGATCATGTACAATAACTTTACACCCCAAAACGCCCAGATCTACTATCGGTTAAAAAATGAAGAAAAAAAACCCGTTAAAATGGATTTGAAGTTGTTTGAGTTTGAGGAGTTAGGTGTAATAAACTATCAGAAATATTCCTGAAAATGTTTACCGAGTCTAATTTTAGAATAATCCTAAAAAAGGATTACAAGCGTGCACACAGCTGTTGATTTTTTCAACACCGCGCGTCCCATTGACTATAAGCGTACGTGGGCCCTAGATTAGTTGTTGTCATTGTTTACCTATGTCGATTGACTTATAAATACATTTCGGAGAAAGGCAGAGACGGTCCGAAAAAATGGAAGGTATGATATTAACTTATATTTATAATTCACCATGTTAATACTGTTAGACGTAAGTTGTCTGCTGTGACACTGTCTTATTTCATGCGATTACATGTTGGTGTTCAGGCCCCCAAAACAATCGATCATATGCTATTTTGAAATACCTTAATTTGAAGTTATGACCCACTTAAAAAATGTACAATGACTTGCTTGCGAAATATTACCAATACCACAGGTACTTCGTGTACATACCCCAGGTACTAAATAACACCTGGATGTATGATATCATGACTGCGAGACTTTAAATTGTCTGTGAGGTACTGTACATTAACCTTTTTTTTTTTTTTACAAATGGACCATATAGATACATATTTATAACTTTCAATAATATTTACAACTTGAACATATGAAATTACAATAGACTTGCAGCTGCTTGTGTGTGTTTGTGTGTTTTGATGGTGGTGTGATAAGGTGTGTGTTTGCAGCATGTTGTTGGGGGAGGGTGCTAGCGTTTCCTCTGGCCCTGACACCTGCAGACTAAGACATTTTGACAGATAGACCCACACTTAACACACCAGACCTCTGTCTGTTCAGATGTCTAAGTCTGATGTAATGTTTAGAGAAAATCGGGCTAGTAGGGGGAGATGTGTGACATGTACAGAAATATGAATTGTAACTGTCTGTTAGCAGTTAGGGCTTTGAGAGGTGTATAGGATTAAGGTCGCCTTCTAGCTTCGAGCTAGAGGGATTTTCCTTTAGCTCAGTGGTAGAGCGTCCATTTAGGAGCCTGGAGATTGAGGGTTTGATCCCCGGTGGAAGCGCACTATTCTCTTTCCTGTTACAAATGGTGTGCGTGGCCCTCTCAGTGGTGACAGGTTGTTAGAACCTGGGTTGTGGTGTTTGAGGGCGAACACATTTAAAAAGGGGGAAGTAGTGTGGCATAGTTCAATTGTACATATGATTAAGGTCGCCTTCGAGCTAGAGGGAATTTCCCTTTAGCTCAGTGGTAGAGCGTCCATTTAGGAACCTGGAGATTGAGGGTTCGATCCCCGGTGGAAGCACACTATTCTCTTTCCTGTTACAAATGGTGTGCGTGGCCCTCTCAGTGGAGACAGGTTGTTAGAACCGGGGTTGTGGTGTTTGAGGGCGAACACATTTAAAAAGGGGGGAGTAGTGTGGCATAGTTCAATTGTACATATGATTAAGGTCGCCTTCGAGCTAGAGGGAATTTCCCTTTAGCTCAGTGGTAGAGCGTCCATTTAGGAACCTGGAGATTGAGGGTTCGATCCCCGGTGGAAGCACACTATTCTCTTTCCTGTTACACCTTGAAGTTAGCGAAACAAACTCTTCCAACTACACTGGCTTTCTTCTGTTCATATTATTACAATGTTAGCATTGAACATTTATGAATCAGACTGTGATATATATTTTTTCAGTTTTTCATTCTTTTTTTTTGTGGAAGACTTTAAATAAAATGTTTTATATCCAAACTCATTCCTCTTTCGAAATAAAGAAGGAATTAGAAAAGTCAAAATTATTACTAGCCAATTTTGTTAATAAACATTAGATGATACTTTGTTAGTCGATCAGATACTTGAGAATTTTAACTCAAAAGAAATGCATAGATGTACCGAAGAAGCCTGATTGTGTGCCAGTATTTACCACAAGGTATTAATCATTGCATCAGTCTATATACAAATATTTATCTAATGAAGTCTTTCTCATAATTCAATATAAAATGGAAGAAGCCTTAAGATTTATATTTAGTCATTCACCCCTGAAGGCACATTTTAACTCTTCCAATTCAAAGATTGGAATAGCTCATTATGAAATTTCAGGGGTGAATTGGTTAAATAAGGAATAAAACCAAGAAGTTGTCATAAGGGATCATCCATCCATATCTCTTAAGGTGTCTAATTAAACATTTATTATTTAATTATCATGACTACAATTTTATCCCAATATATACATTGATATCCCTGTCCCATCACATTATGGTTTAGTATGTACAGTAGTCTACTAGCCTCTCCTTAATTTTGTGTTCGACCAGGCACAAATGTAGCTGTCGGTAACATAGATAGTATCATAATAATATACCGCTCTATCACAACCTACATGTAGTTCGTAGGTCGTCTCAAAGCGGTTCACAAATTATTATCCATGCATGGTTATAGGGCGTTTGCAACCAGCCAATATCTTTTTCAACTCCCCAGGGACCATATATATACAGCCGGAGCTGCCATTTCGGTGCTAACAGTTAGCATT